GGGCAGATTGGAAAGATTTTGAGGAGGACAGAAGCTCCATGTCACATCCACTCACTCGACAGCAGGTTTTCCAACTTCGTGTGTTTAGGGCCTCTTATTGGAAGACCAGGGTCCTCCTCGGAGCCAGTCCTGTTCTTCTCCAGAACATTTCAGCCCTGACCGTCCTCTCCCTCAGTTCTACTGTGCAACCTTTGAGCCCCAGTGGATGGTAGAGGGGGGTGGGGTGCAGGTTCACTGCCAGCCATTTTGTTGTGGTGAGCCCAGTTCTGTTATCATTCCTTCATACTGGACGTTCCCGAACCTTCCTCCAGACTCCATTACCTCCTGCATGTTTCCATTCCACTTGTGCTATCAGAGAAGTCACCAGAGTTCAAAACAACCACTTATTCCTGAGTTGGCTGGGCCCATGTTTCCAACCCATCATTTTGGAGAGCCTGGCGGCCCTCTTACACATCTCATTAGATGCTACACAAGAAACAGCGAGAAAGCAGCCAAGATATTCAGTGGTACTGAGGTTGACACGACCTGAGGAAGGTCAAGTCCATGTCACGTGGCGTGGCGCACTTATCTCTGCTGAACATTCCTGCCCCGCGGCCCCGTGGTCCACAGGCCCACCGCGTGGCAGGGATGCTGGCTTTTCTGTGTGTGTTGACAAGCTGTGGAAGCAGATCCTGTGGGCAGGCCCTCTTGGACAATCACGGGAAGTTCCTCCAGGCCTGGGCTGAGTCCAGCTCTATCTGGCAGGCAGCGGGAGGTTACAGGCCATCAGGCTGAAGGGTCACCAGCAACCCTAGTGCACGCTGCCCTGAGCCAGAGCAGAGAGGCGCAGGATAATCTGCTTCCGGAAAGGCCCGGCCTGCTGCCCTCGGTCCCAGGCTTTTGTGGGCCCCCTTGGCGAGGAAGTGGAAGGCGGGGCGAAAGGCCTCTTGAGTAAAGCACATCAGAAAATAGAACGTGAGGCAGAAATTTGTTCCTTCAATGAGGTTCGCCTCTTGCAACACAGAAACGCGCCCTAAACTTCCTGAGAGTCTTCAAGAGGGGCAGGCTTGGGAAGCGACAGAAAATTGCTGTCATTAGCAAACACCATCTTTCATCTCTTCACCAGGCCTGCAGCCAAGATTGCGGGTGGTGTGGAAAATGGCAGCGCCGCTGCTGTGGCGAGCTGCCCTTACATTCGAGGAGCGTTTCATAGTGTATGGTTGCTGGACGTCACCAGCAAGTCTGTGTCCTATGCCCTTTGCTTCAGGAGAGTGTTAGTTTGCAAAGGGACAGAAAATTAGCTGCCTCACTGAGCGCTTCCCAAGACAATGACTGTGAGTTGATAGACCTGCAGGGGAAAGACCTGTGTGAGGGAAAAGCCACTAGCCTTGAGGGCGCTCCACACAGGGGCAGCCGAGCCTGTCATCCAGGCCCTGCGGCCCACCTCGCTGGCCCATGCCAGCTGCCCTGCCCACAAGATGGCGTGGGCACGTTCCCACTGCATGCATTGGTGGCACTTTGGGGCTGAAATGCAGCCGTTTTCTTGCCCCCCCCCAAGGTTTCCTTTCCCAACTTTCTGACTGACACTCTTTTGACCTCCTCTCTTTTTGTGCACTTATTTAGGAATTTGCAGTCTCTGGAAGCTCTAAATAAACACACAGGAGGCGGGTGCTCCCCCCTCCCTGCCCCCCAGTGTCATCACCCAGGCTATGAGCTGGGGTCCCAGGTGCTCACTGGATTCAGCCTGTGACTCCAGATGCTCCCCACTTAGTTCCACTGCCGCAGTCTGACCAAATTGACCAGCACAGTCGGAGCCCGGCCCGAGCGCGCATGTTGAGGGAGGTCCCTGGTGAGGTCATGGCTAAGGGGCAGCCGCCCTGAGCGTGGAGGCCGAGCACCCTGATGCCGTGGCTCGCTTTCCCGGCCTGCACTGGCCCCCTGGGCTCGGAAAGCAGCTTGCTGACCCAGCCCAGCACAGGCACAGGAAATGACCCCATGGCCCTGGGACCTCACCACGGCGGGGGGGGAGGGGCCCACTTTGCGGCAACGAGGGACAGTGGTCACTCATCAGGATGGGCTCGCGCTTGTCACTGCAGTGAAACCTGCTCTCACACTTCGGCACCCTCGTAAACCCTGGGGGGTGGGATTGGGACGGGCCCACACGCCAGTGTTTCCTACCAGGAGCCTCGGGGTGTGTGCGAGTCACTCAGCCAGCGACAGTCACAGCGCTGTCTGTGTCCAGCTCCTCAGTCCAGAGAACAGGTGCGACAGAGTGGCCAGTGGGCCCCAGGGCAGACGGGACCTCAAACAGAGAGAAGAAGGAGAAGCCCAAGGCCAGAAAGTGGCAGGAAGGGCACAGGGGCAGGGGACGCGGCGGACAAGAGTGCCCAGTGCGGCAGCCGCTTTCCTCCAGTTGACCAGACAAGGTGTCTCTGAGGGGCTTTGTGGCCGGAGGTGAAAGCACTGCGCGGTGGAAACAACGGATGATTTGGTAAATTGTCCTCGAATAGATGGCAATTCAGGGAACTGAGACAGGAGGCGTCCGCCATGGAGGCGTGCGCGTGTGCACGTGTTCCGCCGACCCAGCATGTATCTCACACTCCCGCAGGTACAAACTTGCTGCTGCGTGTGTTTCAGAGGCGCACGAAGCACCAGCACGTCTCTGTCGCCCAGTGTCACTGCAGATGAGTCACACAGTTTTCTACCTGGCTGTGTGCACAGCGCAAGATTGGTGCCAGGCACAGCCGAGATTGTTCCTCGCAGGAGGATGGGGTTTTGTTATTCCCCCAGCAATTCCGGAAACATGAGCAGGCCTCTGATTCTAGAACTGAGCGCACACACTTTTCCACCAGATGACAGGATGTCACAGGGCTTGTTGCTGGGGATGACACTGCTGGGCTGGGCGGGGATGAGTCAGCTTTCTGGCTGTGGCAGGAAAGGCAGGGAGAGCTGGGGACCAGCCACCCACAACCACTCGTGGGTCCCTTTCAAACGTTGCTCTGCTGTCCATCTGTCTCTGGCTCATGGCTGCAGAAGTGACTTTTGCTGCAGCACCCCTCATACTTTGAACCTCATTTCTCTGAGTCATAATGGCAGGTATTTTCTAGATCCTCTGGCCCCGACACTGCCCAGCCCTAACCCCCCCCCCCACTGCCCAATTAGCCCACACCAAAAGTGCCTTGTGGCCTTGCCACGTACGTATCACCCCCTCAGAAACCCATGTCACGATGCTCGAGTGGAGGTTGAGAAACCCAAAGGCAAGCGCCCTGGTGATCTGCACGACCCACACATTCGCGGTCTGCTGCCATGGCCTGCGCCCAGGCCCAGGCTGTGGCGTTCTGCGCCTGCTCTTCCCTCCGCCTTGCCTGAGCCGGTGCTCACTGCTCACTTCCTCCTGGAAGTTTCCCCAGGCCTTGCCTACCGTCCCCCGCGCCCTCGGGCTCTCCTTATCACCCTCATCTGGCCTGTTTGCCCCTCCTCCCACCACTTCCGTGGGGCAGGCCTTGCAGCTCACTCACTTGGTCTCCCAGGGGGGCTCCTCGCCCCAGGGGTCCGGATCACATGTTCTGTGATCACCCCCTCTGTATCTCAGTCCTGTGGCTGGAGGCTCACTGACTCTCAGGGTTACCTTCCCCCAACACTGTTATCAAAGGATAAGAAATTATTTCCATGAAACTGGAGAGTTCACTTGAAACTGGTTTCTGCACTCAGCTCAACTTCCTCTTCTAGAATAATTTTTGGGAAGTACACCAAGTTCCTCTTCACATTTCCCTACCCAAGAGGCTTTGGGAAAGTTTGGGGTACCCCAGATGCCCTATGAAAGTAGGGACACAGGGCATTCTCCCTGGACCCCTGTCCTGGGTTGGGTGTGGCTGGCGGCCTTGGGGAACCGCAGGATGAGGCCTCACCCCATGTGACTTAGTTTCCACAAATGCACAGCGATCCTTGAGCCATGACCCTCTGCTTAGCACCTCCGCCCCACTCAGTCGCAAGACTGTGGGCCCAGAAACGCGTAGTCCCAGCTCCTGCTCCCAGTCGCACCCAGCTGCCCCTCGCCATCGCCTCCAAAGGGCTTTTTCTGAGGTGGGATCAACTTCAGCTCTCCTGTGCCCACTGGCTTCCCTGGTCTCAGAGTGGCTGCAGCCCCCAGGCTGGGAGGGAGTCAGTGTGCCAAGCCGTCCCCTCATCCTGGCCCCTGAGTCAAACCTGGGGGGGGCCCGTCACTGTCAGAGTGACGTTAGATGTGCAAACTTCCTGTGCTGGTGGTCACTGTGCCTGCTGGCAGAACCCTGCTTCCTGCTGTCACACAGCCCCGCCCCCCCAACAGGAGTGCTGTAAATATCTGCAGTTGCTTCTGCCAACCGCAGCAGGGAGTGGACTCAGCAGGCCGTGCTGGCCCCAGGCTGGCCTGGCAGCAGCACGCACACCTGTGCAGACAAGGGCCTGGGAGGGTGCTCCCTGTCCTCCCAGCCCCCGCAGCGCTGCTGCGGCCAGTAAGTAGCTGGGATATTTAGGAGCCACAAGGGCTTGTTCACTGGCTTCTCAGCTGAAAGCTCCTTCTCCAGGCCTTGAGCAAGAGGAGAGAGCTGATGCCTTTCTCTGTTGAGATTTGTACTTCTTGGGCTCTCAGTGGTGTGATGTGGGCACATGACTAAATTTCTCTGAACCTCCATTTTCCTGCGCAGAAAGTGGGCACGACGCTCTTTCCTTCTGTGTGGGAATGGCCTGGGGTGGCTCGCAGGGGCGTGACACACAGGAAATGCAGCAGGTCTCCCACAGAGGCCAGGCTGCCAGCTCAGGCTGTGACAGGCCACTCCTCCGGTGAGTGAGTGTGACAGGGCTGTGCAGCCCGGCCGAGCAGCGGCCTGAGTGGCCGTGATTGCAGTGTGGCATCGGCTTGGGATTGGACGGAGCAGCAGCCAACTTCCTTCTTGCTCTAGACTGTAAAGCCGTTTTGAAGCCCCAGGAGACACGGGCGCGTCTGGTGGCCTGGGCTGCAGCTGACCTCACCTCCCCCACAGGCCTGGCGCCGGCGCTGGTTCGTGCTACGACGTGGCCGCATGCGCGGGGACCCCGACGTGCTCGAGTACTACCGCAGCCAGCGTGCCAGCAAGCCCATCCGCGCCATCGACCTGCGCGAGTGCGCCGTGTGGCGGCACGCAGGTCCCGGCTTCGTGCGCAAGGAGTTCCAGAACCACTTTGTGTTCATCGTCAAGACTGCGGCCCGCACATTCTACCTGGTGGCCAAGACTGAGGACGAGATGCAGCGCTGGCTGCGTAGCATCAGCCAGGTGTGCAACCTGGGCCACCTGGAGGCCGGGGCAGGTGAGTGCCGCCCGCTGCAGCGGGGCCTTCAGGGTCAGAGCAGACCGGGGTCCCCTCGCCCTCCCTGCGTGCTGAACTTTGGGTCTACAAGTGCGCACACTGAGTGCAGGTCCCACGCCAGGCTGAGGTTCCAGAAGCACCCCGTGGAAGTCCAAGAGTGCTGCTGCCTATGGCAGAAAGTGACATGTGTGACACACAGGAAACACTTCCTCATGTCTCCCACGGCCTCAAGGGCCCTATGAGGGACAGTATCCTGACTGGGCTATGACTGCAGTGGGGCAACTGACACGCAGAAATCTCTCTCTGTCTCTCTCTCTAACACACACACCCCTTCTGGCTATAACATGCTCTGAAGATTCACTTCCGCTCATGGACTGAGCCCCTGACCTCACACCCCGAGATGCAGATTCTGATTTCATGAGCCCCTCAGCCTCGTGGACAAAACTCAGACCTGAACCCTGTGGCCACACTCAGGAGGGCACACAGGCACCGTGACTCGGGTGCCTCTAAAGTGACCACAGGGCAGAGACAAGGACCACAGTAAGCCGTTCGGCCCAAAACACCCTGGTCGTGTGTCCTCTCCCGTGTGCCTCTGTCTCCTCACCCGGGACTTGTCCTGAAGGATAGAGGACGTGCTTCCCACTGTGAGGAGGGACAGGATGAGTGAGGTTGCAAGCAGTCCACGGGGTGGCCTGCTGTGAAGTTGGGCAAAGCCGGCAGTGCCCCATGACCTCTTCTGTTCCTGTCACCCCCCGAATTCCATGCCCCAAGGACTGCCACTTCCCAGGGAAGGCAGGCGAGTCGCCCAGAGTGCCAGCTGCGAGAGCAGAGCCCAGCTCGTGCTCAGGTGGGCCCCGGGCCGCTGAGACTTGGGAGTCCTGAGCCGCCAGCTGCCTTCAGGGCGGAAGGAAAGGCCTTCGCTGGGAGGTGCTGGTCCAGAGGCCACCTCGTTCTGGAGTCCACACTCATCCTGAGGGCCCCGGGGCCTGGTGAGAGGCTGGGGTGTGCTCCTTGAGAAACGGGGGCTTTCTGCATCCTTCACGTCAGGCTGCTTGTTGGCTCAGCAGCGGGTGGTGGGCGCAGCCGCCGCCCTGCCTGCTGTGTGCGCACATGCGCACGCCCGCGGAGAGAAGCAGCAGCGGTGCGGGTTGTGGCCGCCGGCCATGAAGGAACTGTGGCCCCTGCTGCGGGGAGCTCCAGGCCAAGAGCGCGCCTCTGTTTTTTTCCCTCTTAATTGATTCAACGCTTTGCTCTTGGAACGTCGCCCTCCTTTTCCAGACATTGTTTATAGCTCGGGGAAACGGTCTCCTCTGCCGGAGCAAACACCAGCTGTGATTTGCATCTTCGCTCTGGCTTCTTCGAGGCTGCTTGAGAAACAGTGAGGGAGCGCACAGCCCTGCTCCAACGTGAACGTGGGAACTGATTTCTCCAGCAGATGCCGTGGAGAGCCTCTCTCGCGCCGCCCTGCCGCCGTCCCGGGCCAGCTCCCTCCGCACCGGCCAGGCTGTTGGCCCCTCCTCGCCTAGAGAGGACACAAGCGCTAGTGCTGTAGCAACTGAGGACAGCAGAAGTGAGTCAGAGTTTCTCTTCCTTCCCGATTATCTGGTTCTGTCCAACTGTGAGACTGGAAGACCGCACCACGCCAGGTATGCCTCCGGCCGGCCCGCCCGGCCCAGCGCGCGCGCCTCTGTCTGCGGAGCCCGCGGCTCCTCCCGCAGGCTCTGTCGCGGTCACCGGGCGCCCCTGTCCGCGCCTCCCTCCCCGCCGCCGCCAGGCGGGGCAGGTGCGACGCAGCCGCTCTGAAAAGACAGAGCAGGGTCTGAACTCGCTGAGCCCGGCGTGGCAGCCTGCGGCTCCGTGTGCGGCCTTGCGTTCTGGGATGCGCCTCACGCTTACAGGGTGAAGACGTCCTCAACCCCCTTGTCCCGCCCGCAGGGGTGCTGCGGCCGGGCAGGCGGAGTGGGGTGGTGCCCTCCGGGCGCCGGGAGGGAGGCCAGCATGGCTTTGGCGGGGTGGGGGGGGGGTGGCTGCCTTTCTTCCTCAGACGAGGGTCGTGTTGCTCAGTGGCCACGCCGTGGCAGGCACAGCCGGCGCTCTGGTCACAGCTGCGCGCTTCTCTCCCCTCAGCCTCCCCAGCAGATGCGACAGCTGGTCAAACTCAGACCGCTCCCTGGAGCAGGCCTCCTTCGACGACGTTTTTGTGGACGGGCCGCCGCCGTCCGCTACCGCCCTGGCCCAGCCCTCCCGCCATGCCAGCGGCGCCCGGGAGGCCCCGGCCCCCAGGCCCCAGGCCGCGCGGCTCTGGAGCGGTGGGCCGGTCCGCGACTGTCTGTCCTGCTCACAGTCGCTGGACCCTTCCTTCAACTCCCCCATTCAGGGGGAGCAAAACCAAGGTCCGCTGCGCTATGGGGTAAGAGACCTTGACTTGACGTCCGCCACGCCCCCGCCACGCCCCCCAAAGCCCAGCCATCTCTCTGAACGGCGCCCCGAGGAGCAGCTCCTGCGCACTGCAGGCCCCAGTGCCTTCAGGCAGCCGGGCGGCGCTGTGGTGCCCAGAAGAATCTCTCTCTCGGGTTTGGACAACATGCGAGCCTGGAGAGGTAAGTGCCGAGCCTACACGCAGCCATGCAGCCCACCTGGCCGCGCTTCTCTCTTCGATCCCCGCGAGGACGCCCTGGCTCCCCTGCGCCCGTGCCCCAGGCTCCCCATGGCCTCGGAGGCTAGCTGCGGGTGCGGTCCTGGGTCCCTGCGGGTGCTGAAGGACAGCGGCCCTGACCTTGAGAGCCCCTAGCCTGTGTGCAGGGCTCCCTGCGGGGCTAGCTCCGGGCCTTTGTTCTCTGTAGCTCAGCCCAGGGTTGCTCTGGGCTCCCCACACGCCCTGGCCTGCAGCCCTCGGTGCTTCCATCACCCCAGGTGGCGCCCGTGTGCTACCGCTCCGCCCTCCTGGAGCCTCTTGCCTTTTCTGCAAAGCCATCTACTCTCATGGATGTGTCTGTCTCTTCTCTGCATCCAAATGCTATCACACGCATGTTGCTACCTAGAAAGCCACGTAAAGGAGTGTTTGCCTGCGTCTCTGTAGCTGAGGACTTTGGTTCCCCCACCCCAGAGGTCACCCAGTCTCCCGTGGCACGTCCTCTGATTATCTCGATGGAACCGTGTGATCAAAAGGTCTTCATGGGCTAACGTGTACGAACAGTGGACCAAAAGGCAGAATGGAAAGTGGAGGTAGGCTGTGACGCGATGGACAAAGGCAGCAGCACCATGGATGAGGGACATGAGTCAAAGTGTCAAATTGAAGAACAAAAAGAAGTAGAGCCACCTTGGTGGTGTAAGGGGTTAAAGTCTCAGCGCTGTCACGCTACCTCCAGCCACTGTGGCCTGAGTCCAATCCCAGCCAGGCAGCTACCCACAGGGCGCAGCAGGCCTCTCCTGTTTCACCTACTGCTCCCCTCAGCAGTGTATCTCAGTCAGTCTGCCTGTTGTGTTCCCCACTCTGTTTCTGGAGAATCCTCTCACTCCCCGCACCTCTGGCCTGTACCCCAGTTGTTATATGCATAAATAATAAAAAAAATACATTTTTAAAAAAAGAATAAAAAACATTATTTAAGACGTGAAGACACTAGACAGTGATGTGCTGTTCCTTTGCGTGGAGGCCAACAGAGGTCCCACTAACAGAGGTTTTGACCTCGAGCTAAGACCCAGTCAAGGGTGGTGGGTGCACAGCAGCGGGAGTGGTGAAGTAGGGGGACACTACGGGGAGGGTGTTCAGCCTTCCCGGAGGGCCACCCGGAGCCCAGGCTCGGTGGCCACCACAGGGAGTGGCAGACCTGGCCAACGCTGGCCTGTGTTAGAGTTGGCGGGTCAGGTTCCACACACAGTGGCACATATACTGGGGGTTGGCGAGGAGGGGGTCCCATCTGTGGATCCCTATGACCCACCTGACACCAGACACAGCTTAGAAACTGCCTCCTGTATTTTTTGTTTTCCTGTCAGTCCGTGGTATTTCATTTTAATAACCTTTTTGCTGTTGTCTGAAAAATATGCTATTTTGATTTGGTTTCTAGCTTTTCTAAACTAGATGACCTTGCATTTGCTTTGCACACAGTCCTGTCACACGCACATTTCCTTCTTATGTCCCTGCTTGTGTTAGCAAGTCCCAGACACTGAATAGTAGCAGTGACCCAGGGATCCCAGTCTTATTCCTGGCCCCACAGCACCACCCCGTGTTCCCCATCTCAGTGACTTTGTGGTCAGGGTTCATGACGCCTGTCATTGCAGCCATGACTGAATGTTGAACTGTCGTAACGACATTCCTCCTTTATCCTGTTAACCTGAAGACCACCATGGGCTGACTGGAATGCAATCTTAGGGTAACCGCGACTTTGGGGCTGTCCTTTTGTTTGGAACTTGTTTTTTGACCTTTTTCCCCAGAGAGATTGTCCTGTAATTTTTTTTATTGACAGACTTTATCAGAAAAACCATGTCGGCATGGACTTTGCTTTCCGGAAAGACTTAAAAATTTTCAGGATTCAATTTCTTTACTCTTGGTTCAGATTTTCAGTTTTCTGTTGCAGTCCTTTTGGTAAGTTATCATTTTCCAGGGATTTCTTCATTTCACCAAATTTTTCACATTTATTGGCATAAAATAGATTACCATGCCTTCTCCTTCTCTGTAGGATCAACAGTGGCTGCCTTTTCATTCCTGACATTGCTAACGTGGGTCTTTTCTCCTTTTATATTACTCTTGTTGGGGTTCATCAATTTTCTTAGATTTTTTTTTTTTAAAGATTTAGTTATACAAGAACTGGGATACAGGTCAGAAGCGCGGAAGGGTGAGAGAATTCACCAGAGCCAGAGTGGGAGCAGAACAGGCAGACAGACTGAAGACACCGCTGAGGGGAGCAGCGGGCGCGACAGGAGAGGTCTGCCTCGCCATGTGGGAATCTCCCTGGCCAGCTGGGAATCGAAGCCGCGCTGCAGAGGCTGCAGACAGCTTCGCAGCGCGACGCTCAACCACTGCGCCACCGGGGAGGCCCAGATTTTTATTTTTGAGAATAAATTTTGACTCTGATTGTTTCCCCCATTGTATATTTGTTTTCTGTTTCATGAAATCTTGCTCATCTCTTCATTATTTCTTTCCTGCTACTTCACTGGTCAGCAAATTCTGACCAAATCTGACCAACAGCCCTTGGACAACTAGCTGAGAATGGTTTTTACACTTCTAAGGGTTTGTTAAAAAAAAGTACTACCTGGCCCTCCCAGTCTCCTCGCCCTCGTGTTTGTACTTCCTTGCAGGTAATTTGCATTGTTTCAATGGATGGTTGGCTCCTTGCATTTTTCCTTTCTTCTTTTTTTAAAATTTTTTTTTTTAGATTTATTTTTTATTTATATAATAGCTGGGGTACAGGCCAGAGGTGAGGGGGTGAGAGGATTCACCAGAGAAAAAGTGGGGAGCAGAACAGGCAGAATGACTAAAGCACACTGCCGAGGGGAGCAGCGGGGAGACAAGAGAGGTCTGCTGTGCCATGTGGGTAGCTCTCTGGCCGTGGGTCGGACTCAGGCTGCAGTGGCTGCGGACAGCTTCATAGTGCTGAGACTAACCTCTGCGCCGCCTGGGAGGCCCCCAGTCAATTTTTTTTTTAAGCTTCACTCACATCAACTAGTTTCCTAGCTTATTGCTTCCAGCATCTCACAAGTTCCTTCTGGGATACTTTTCATTCATTTTGTGGTTTATTCTTTAAGATGTCTTTTAATAATAGGTCTGTTGTTGGTGAATTGTCTCAGATTCCATTTGTCTAAAAATGACTTTTAAAACCTCTTGTTGTGAAAAGGGAATTCCTGGATGTATAAAGCTAGTTTGACAGTTGCCCAGCGGAGTCTGCGGTCACTCCCACTCCTTGTAAGAAAGTTTCTTTTTTTTTTTTTGGTTTAATTTATTTATTTATACAAGCACGGGGTACAGTCAGAAGCGCGGGAGGGTGAGAGAATTCACCAGAGCCAGAGCGGGGAGCAGAGCAGGCAGAAGGACCGAGGGACACTGCTGAGGGGAGCAGCGGGCGGCAGGGGAGGTCTGTGCGCCATGTGGGACCCTCCTCCGGTGGCCGGGGAGCAGCCGGGGATCGAACCGGCGCCTCCGAGGCCGCGGGCAGCTTCGCAACCCAGCGCTCAACCGCTGCGCCACCGGGGAGGCCCAGAAAGTTTCTTTTAAAATTTCCTTTCAGGGCCTCCCCTGGTGGCGCAGCGGTTGAGTGCTGGGCTGTGGGGCTGCCCGCAGCCTCCGCAGTGCCGAGTGATTCCATCCCTGGCCGCCAGCAAGGGTCCCACATGGTGCACAGACCTCTCCTGCCGCGCCTGCTGCTCCCCTCAGCAGTGTATTTCGTCAATCTGCCTGCTCTGTTCCCTGCTCTGGCTCTGGTGAATTCTCTCACCCTCCCATGCTTCTGACTGTACCCAGTGCTTGTATAAATAAATCTAAAAGAAAAAAAAAATTTCCTTTCAGCCTCCCTGAGGGACTTCCCGTAGTAGTTCTAGAAGTGACGCCATAAACTCAGTCTTGGGAATGTTTTCATTTTACCTTCATTATGGAAACGGAGCTCTACTGGCTGTTGAGTTCTTGTTGCACGATTTTCTTCCTTCACTGTTTTCAGTCTATTATTCCACGGCCTGTGGCCTCCTACCACGCCTGCCACACAGGACTTAACTGCTGCTGGCCTAGATTCTTGTGTTTGTGATGAGCTGGCTTTCTCTTACTGTTTGGAGATTTTCAACAATTTGGCACAAATTCATGTTTTTCACAAAATTTAGGAAATGTTCAGGCATTATTAAAAAAAAAAAGTATGCCCCCCTTTCTTTCATCACGGGGCTCCTAAGTGTGTGATGTTGTGTCAGCATGGTTGATGGTGATGAGTCTTTGAGAGTCTGTTCCTTTGTCTTCATTCTTCCCCCCACCCCAGATTGGACACTTTTTTTTTTAAAGATTTATTTATGCCTACAAGAGCTGGGGTACAGGCCAGAGATGCGGAGCGGGAGGGTGAGAGGATCCACCAGAGACAGAGCGGGGAACAGAACAGGCAGACTGACTGAAACACACTGCGGAAGGGAGCAGCAGGCGAGACAGGAGAGGTCTGCTGCGCCCTGTGGGTTTCTCCCTGGCCGGCTGGGGATCAAACTCGTGCTGCAGAGGCTGCAGATTGCTTCATAGTGCGGTGCTTAACTCCTTGCGCCACCAGGGAGGCCCCAGATTGGACACTTTCTATTAATCGATTTTAAAACTCATTGAGTCTTCTGTCAGCTCAAATTTTCTGTTGAGGTCTTCTAGTGAATTTTTCATTCTAGTTAGACTTCTCAGCTCCAAAATTCCATTTGCTGCTTTTCTGCAACTTCTAGCTTTCTGATGCTGAATAGTTGTTGTCATGGCTCCTTGTAGGTCTGTGAATGTGGCTTCCTTTTGTTCTCTGAACTTCTGTGTATTACCAGTTTTGGTGTCTTCTCTGCTAGTTCCAGCACCTAGCACTTTTCATCCAGTTTTCCTGACCGCCCTTTGTCCTGCGGACGGACCCTGTGGCGGCCTACAGGCACGCGAAGAGGGGCTGGTCTTCGCGCATCAGCAGGGTGTGCCAGTCAAAACTGTAACGAGCCGGCTTCTCACCCTGTGACGGGACTGTTGCCAAGAGGACAGCGATAACAGGTGTTGGAGAGGATGTGGACAAAAGGGAGCCCTTGTGCCCTGTTGGTGGGTATGTGAGTTGTTGCACCGCTGTGGAAACCAGTATGGTGGTCCCCCCAAAATTGAAAAGAAAGCCTCCGCATGACTCAGCTGTCCAAGTCTGGGTAGTGATCCAGAGGAAAGAGAAGCAGGACTGAGGAGCTGGCAACACTGCTGTGTGGCCTGCAGCTTTCTTCCCCATGACCGAGACATGTGAGCCACCCGCGCGCGTGTCGGCAAAGGCCCGGGCAGAGTGGATGTGAGCTAGCAGCAAGGAGGAAGTCGTGACACATGGGTGGACCTTGAAGGCATGCCGCTAGGTGACGTCACCCGACAGAGAAAGATAAGTAGTGTGTGATTTCACCCAGATGCAGGCTCCAAAGGAGTCAGGCTCGGAAGCAGTGGAGGGCTAAGAGCTTCCAGCTATGTGTACAGTGGTGTTAACTGTGGCTGCAGTGCTGCGGCCTCACACAGTCACCTTAGAACTCGCAGTCTGTGCCCTTGGATTGAGCTGCCCCACGCCGCAGCCCCACGACCCCCTTCCGCTGCTTCCGAGCTGAGGCATATTGATGGACACTGTCCACCCTCCTTACGCCGTGCTGTAGGCCAGTGCTTCCGTCAGGTTCGGCAGATGCAGCAGGTGTGTGGCGAGTTGGAAGCTGAGAGTGCTTCAGAGGGAGGAGAAGCGGAGCCGGAAACCATCAGCTGAACCATGGGGCAAAGCAATAATCCGAAAGGGTGATTGGGGAGGTTTGAAGACACACTGGAGGGGCTGAGGGCTGAGCCGTGGGGTGGCAGAGGCTGAAACCAGAGCCAAAGCCCTGGAATGTGACCTGGTTGCGGCTTTTGGCCAATGCAGTGTGAGGCCCACACAACGAGAGAGGCGAGGCTGGTCGGCGCATGGGCCAGTGGAGCGCACAGAGCGGAGAGATGCTGTGGGGCTGCATTTTAACAGGATCACTGCTGGGTTGAGAGTTGACTGAGGGGAGCAGGTGTCGAAGTGGGGAACCCTGTTGAAAGATGAGATGACGCAGGCCATGGTGGTGACAGAGTAGGTGGTAGCTTTGGACTCTGTTAAAGGTGCTTGACCTACCTTGAAGGTGGAACCTCACCTAGTGGGTGTGGGTAAGGCGAAAGAGTGGGTCGAGGTGGAGTTTGTGGTTTTGGGTGTGAGAAACTGACATGAGGAGCAAGTGGAACAAGCTGGTGGCTGGAGGGAGGTGACGCCTGCCGCATTTCCCAGTGTGGGTGTGATCAGGCCGGAAGTGTGACTCCGAAGGTCCGTGAGAGGCCTGGGCCAAGCTCTGATTTGCAGGGTGGTCTGTCTGATGAGGTAAGGGCAAGGGCTAGGCGAGGTCACCAGGAGAGCAGTTCCTTTCTGAGCTGAGATGGCACGGGTGGCTCGCTCCCCTCCTCAGAGTGGCCGGGTGTTCTGCAGAGGGTCATGTGATCCCACATCTCCACAACCCTGGTGTCCCGTGCCACCTTGCCTCTCTGCTCCCCGTTCTCCTGCTCACACCCCTCCTCTCCTCAGACTGCCAGCCGTCGCCACCTGTTCCAGATGCCACAAGCTCACGTGACAAGGCCAACAAGCACGCGTAACCTCTTGCTCTATCGCCTCCTCGTTCAGAGCAGAAACTTTTTCCAAAGCGGGTCTGGCTTCTAGACTTGATGGCTCTCCTTGCGCGTAGAAGGCTCTGCACAGCATGCGGGCCTGGACCCCAGTTTTGACTGGTGCTGCCTTGCTTTTCTTACCAACCCTCCTTGTGCCTTGCAGCTGACGTGGGAGACCAGCCCTTAAGGCACCGGGAGAAGCGGCTGAGTTTAAACTTGGTAAGTTGGGCTCTCGAGTTGCTATGAGTTTCAGTTTTACCAGAGATAGCCTGAGCTGCATATGCTCCCTTTGGCACATCTCTGCCACTCAGCACGCTGGGCCTCAGAGGCCCTGCCGGTGTCGCCCGAAGGCTCTAGCAGGACCCCGCCAGTTGGAAGGGCCCAACTCAGGGCAGCTCCTTGCGAAGTCACTTCGCCCCAAGAGCTTGTGCTCACATGGCAGCAGCTGCCGGAGGGCCAGCACCCACCTCACGGGCCGAGTTCAGAGGCCGCGCTCCAGCTCCAGTCGCTCCCCTGACTGCCCCAAGTTCCCAGCTCCTGTGCGCCTCTGCCCCTGCGGCCCACGTGCAGCCTGGACTGCCCCCTGCTGGCGGCGCGCGTCACTGTCCTACCGTTCCCCAGCCCTGCAGGTTCTCCCCGATGTGCCCGACTTCTTCCTCCGGGGCGGAGGACAGCTACGTGCCCATGCAGGCCGCCGCCTCTAGTCGGGGACGCCCCTGCAGCCCTGATGAGTACATCCCCATGAACTCGGGCAGCTTGTCGAGCCCACTGCCTGCGCTCCCTGCGGACCTGGAGCCGCCCCCAGTGAACAGAGATCTCAAGCCTCAGAGGAAATGTAAGCCCTTGACCTACAGGCGGGGAGCAGGGACCCGGTGGCCACGTGGGGAAGCGTCCCTCCTTCCTGTCGAGAGACCAGCGCGGCAGGCCGCACCGTGGAGGGTGCGAGAAGCGGCCGGGGAGGGCTGGGCACTTGCAGGCACAGCCAGGCCATGTCCAGCGCAAAGGGCCCCTCTGGCTGCGCCCCTAAGAGGGCAGAGGGAAATGGTGATGGATGAGAAGCATTTAAGGAAGAGATGCCATCTGTCACAACCATAAGAGCCTTTGGTGCCAGGACCCATCCCTGACACCCCCGCCTGCTGTTGGACCCCTTCGGGAGCAATTACGGCTTCAGGTGGCCTCGCCCAAGCCGGTCCGGAGTCCCGGCTCCTACCGCCCCCTGCGGTCTCTGTCCATGAGTCACCCCGCCCCCCAGCATGTGCTGCGTGCACAGGGCCGTGGGCATGAAGGGAGGAAGCTGGGAGGGTTTGGCCGCCTGAGTGGGAGGCAGATGTGAAAAGCACCTGGGAGGAGAGGGAGAGTCGGGGAGCAGCTAACTAGGAGAACAGACCTGGCCTCAGGAAATCACCAGCCATTCTGGTCAGAATGGATTTCACAGGGACCTCAGGGAGCTGCTGGATGCGGCGGAGTGGGGGTTCCGCTGGCTCCCCTCCATGGGGCACTGGCCAGCGGGCGTCTGGGGTGCTGATGACGCGGCTACTGCACCCTTGCTGGAGAAAGGAATTGCAAATCGTAGCAATTTCCATGAATTTCCCCGTCAAGTGCCTGGCTTGGCGGTTAAGGAGAGATGGCCTTGGGGCTGGGCGGGTGGGGTGAAGGCAGACACCTGGCCTGGGACAGGTCCCTGGTGAAGGCAGCAGACGGGATGTGGGCCTGACCCACTCAGCCACTAAGGCTGAGCGCTAAGGCTCAGGCAGGCGCAGAGCTGGCACCCCCATCCTTCCGGAGCTGGGCTCTGGGTCGCAGTTCCATCATCTCCCAGGAGCCAGCACTCGGGTCATTGAACAGAGACCCTCTGATGGCTGCCGAGCCAGCAACACCGGGGACGGTTCTAAGCCCACGGAGCTCCACTGGACAGGGCCTGAAGCAGGGCAGCCGACACCCAGCCGACACGGCTCAGAGGGGTGCGGTCCCATTTGTTCAGAGGCCCTGGCGTCCCCAAGGGCTGGGCCTCCTGCCTCGGGCCAGACTCATTGGCTCTGAGCTCTGAGGGCATGGAGGCCCAGGTGCCTGACCTCTGTGTGTCCCCCACAGCACGGCCACCACCCCTGGACCTGCGGAGCCTGTCCACCATCCGGGAACATGCGGCACTGAGCAGGGCCCGCACTGTGCCCGGGTGAGTGCAGGGGTGGCTGGGGCAGGCATGGGGACTGGGCCAGGAGGCCCCTGGAGGCAGCGGGCAGAGGAAGCGGGTCTGGAAGGGGGGCGGGAGCCCCGGGGCGGCTTGAGCTGGCCAGCCCTCCCAGCAGCTGGAAGACATTGCTTGAGCCTCGTCTGTTTTTTCCCTTAGCAATCGAAGCAGCTTGCTCTCTCCAGACAGAAATGGCTTCGGTTCCGCCAGGTTCTTTGCCAGTCCTGCTCCCAGAGAAGAGGAGGGGAGCTATATGCGCATGGTAACCCTGGCTCTCGCCGCGCTCACCCCAGCCCGTGGGGAGGCTCCCTGGCTGGGGATGCTGCTTCCAACCCGGGCTGCAGGCAGTGGGGGGAGGGAAGACCAGGCGGCTGTATTCCAGCGCAGAGGTTGGCCTGGGTATGCCACTGCCCGCTGGCTTCTGCACCCTGATGGGCCCACTGGAGGGGCAGTGCGGCCTGGGCTGTGCTCGCTTTCACCTCTTGACCCATTAAGGGGTCTGGTCTGTGAATCTGACACCTCTGGTCCGCACACGCAGAGCAGTAGGGGAGACTGTACTTGAAGGACATCAGAAGTGATGGGGTTTTGAGGGCGCGGCCCTGCCCTGTCCTTAGGGAGCCGCATCAGGGCCGTCTGCCCGGCTCAGCAGGTGGACACTGACTCATGTCCGTGCGACCTTCCCAAGGCTCTTTTCCACTTAGTAAGGGCCCTTGGGAAGCCTCTAGAGGAAAACTTGCTCATAAAGGACATTGAGCCGCTGGGCTCCACCCCGTAGGACAGACAAGGGAAGTGCGAGGACACAGTGAGGCCGCGAGTGCCCTGGCCTCGGGCAGGGTTGCTTCCCTGTCTGAGTTTTCTGACTTGCTGGTGAACGGTCAGGCCGGGCTGAGGCTACTCCTCTTCAGTCCCGTCAACTGCATGCGGCCTTGTAGAACGCGCAGAAGGAGCAGCACCACCCCTCTGGCTTCAAGCTCTGTATAGCCAGTACTTCTCAGCTTTGAGACTCGCGGTGCGCACGTCTCAGTCCTGTGACAGTGCCCTGGGCTTGTAAGTGGTGAGCACCGGGACCTCCCCGCACCAGGGCCTGGGCTCTGACAGCTCCCCTCACTGTGGTGGTCTCTGCCCCAGGAAAGGAGCCAGACAACATCGCCCAGTATCATGCCGTGTCTTTGACATTCATCCCAGTTGTTTCATGTGGGTACCTGTCCCCTATCCAGAGGCTTGGATAGTGGCAAGTTGTTTGGCAATCATGAATAACATTGTTAGAAACATCCTTTACAGGTTTTGGGCAGTATTTTCCACTGTAGCAAAATAAAAATCACAGATCATTTGCCATTCTACCCTTTTTCGGATGTACAGTAAAGTGCCAGCCACTGCCTTCACGGTGTGCAGCCATCTCCAGAACTTTCCATCAGACCCGGGTCCCCTCTCTTCCATATTCTGTCCTTCTGAATCTGCCTGTTCTGGGAACCCCCGGGACTGGGCGGGCTCCTGGACGATGTCCATCCTTTTGTCTGCCTCCTCCAAATGCAAGCTTTGCCCACAGCGCAGTGTGTGTGACCATTTCGTTAAGACTGACCTGCACTCCCTGGTGTGGCTCTATCACGTTTTGTTTCTCCATTCATCTGCTGACAGCCATTTGTGTTGCCAAGCCATTTTATATTCCCACCAGCTGGGCAAAATGGCTGCATCTTTTCTCAGCATCATCACTAACACTTGTTATTCCCATTTTTTAAAAAGATTTATTTATTTATACAAGAACCGGAGTACAGGCCAGAGGTGCGGGAGGGTGAGAGGATTCACCAGAAACAGAGTGGGGAACAGAACAGGCAGACTGGCCGAAATACACTGCTGAGGGGAGCAGCGGGCAAGACAGGAGGGGTCTGCTGCACCATGTGGGTATCTCACATGCCGGCTGGGATCAAACCCGTGCTGCAGAGGCTGTGGACAGCTCCACAGTGCTGGGCTCAACTGACTGAGCCACCAGGGAGGCCCTGTTATTCCCATTTTTATAATCGCCATCCTATTAGGTGTTAAGTGCTTTCTCATTTTGCTTTGTTTGCATTTCCCTGGTCACTAGTCAAGTTGAACATCTTTTCATGTGCCTATTGGCCATTTGCAGACCTTGATTTGGTTATTCAGAGTTCCTTGAGATTTCTTGAGTTTCAAGATGGGATTTTTCTAGTTTTGCAAAAATGCCATTGATAGAAAATGCTTCAAATCTGCAGATTGATTTGGGTTTTTTTTTTTTTTTAAAGATTTATTTATTTATGCATACAAGAGCTGGGTACAGGCCAGAAGTGGGCGGGGGAGGGGTGAGAGGATTCACCAGAGACAGAGTGGGGAGCAGAACAGGCAGATCCACTGAAATACACTGCTGAGGGGAGTAGCAGGCGAGACAGGAGAGGTCTGCTGCGCCATGTGGGTTGCTCCCTGGCTGGCTGGGGATTGAACTCGTGCTGCAGAGGCTGCGGATTGCTTCATAGTGTGGTGCTTAACCCCTTGCGCCACCAGGGAGGCCCTGCAGATTGATTTGTATAAGGCTGACATCTTAACAATATCAGATCTTCCAATCCATGAACATAGGATGCCTTTCCATTTATTTACAGCAACTTTATTTTCTTTCAGAAATGTTTTGCTGTTTTCAGTATACAGTATACAAGACTTCGTTGTCTTTGTTTAATTTTATTTCTAAATGTTTTATTCTTTTTGATGCTATTGTAAAAGAAATTGTCTTCTTCATTTCCTGTTCAGATGGTTCATTGTTAGTGTGGAGAAATGCAACTGAATTACTGATTTTGTATCTTACAACCTTGCTATATTTATTTTCTGTGTGAAACCTTAGAGTTTCCTGCATATAAAATCAGGTCATCAGCAAATAGATTATTTAGCTTCTTTTCCAGTTTGGGTGCCTTTAATTTCTTTTTCTTGACTAATTACTTTGACTAGACTTCCAATACCTTGCTGAATAAAAACACCATTAGTAGGGATCCTTGTCTTGCTATAAGAAGTTTTTGTGTGGACATACTTTTCCACTTTTCTAGGGCAGTGCTTTTAGCTGGGGTGACTTAGGGACATTTGGTTCCCATACATGGATTGGAAAGGGTGTAGGAAGAGTTCAGGTATGCTGCCGTGCACCCTACAGATGTATGCCGACCTGTTGTCCTGCAACTGCTAAATTCTCTTATTAATTATAGGAGATTTTCTTTTAGAGATTTGTATTTATTTATGCATATAAGAGCTGGGGTACATGCTAGAAATGCAGGGGGTGAGAGGACTCACCAGAGACAGAGTGGGGAGCAGAACAGGCAGACTGACTGAAATACACTGCTGAGGGGAGCAATGGGCGAGTCAGGAGAGGTCTGCTGCACCCTGCGGGTCAGCTCCCTGGCCGGGGATGGAACTTGTGCGGCAGTGGCTGCCGATAGCTTGATAGTACTGAGACTTAACCCCCTGCGCCACCAGGAGATTTTTGTGTTGTGTAGATTTCTTGGGATTTTCTGTGAAGTGCTTCCTTTCTATCAGCAGGCTAACACTTCCAGTACAATGTTGTTCAGTGTTGAAACCATTTAGTTATAATGTTATTCTTTTTATGTGTTGCTAGACTTGATTTACTCGTATTTTGTTTAGGATTTTTTATCTGTATTCCTGGTGGGTCTTGAGCTGTGGGATTTTCATGTGGCCTCCAGGAGAGTGGCCATAGCTTGGTAGGTCTTGATATCCAGGAAAGGAAGTCCTCCTGCTTTCACTATCTTCCTCAACTTTTCTTTGGCTATTTTCTATTCTGGTACAAATTTTAGAAAGAATTTCTCAATTTCTACCAAATGAGGAAAAAAGAAATACCATTCTCCACAGGAAAGGTGGCACATTGGTAGGCAAGGGACCACAAATACCCCTCCCTTCAATATGAATTATCTTAAAAAGCAGAGACAGTCTATTTTAAAATGAACCTATTTTGAAAGTCCATAACTCAACTGACACGAGAAAGGAAGTGGAACCTCTGGGAGCAAACATGTTGAGAAATAACAATCTCGAGAATCACCAGGAATCACAAACGACTAAATCAGATAAGCCATTATGGACATATTGGATATTGAACACGAAATAATTGCTTTTGTTTCTATGTCAAGAAAGAAGAGGAGATGAAAGTCAGACTGAGTAACAATATATATTAAAAACTGATCCAGTGGATTAGAAAACAACCATTTAGCACTTCTAGGTATAAGAATAGGGATGGAATGAGGAACTCACAGCACATGAGTTAAGAGACTAACCCCAAGTCGTGGTAATGGCTTAGTGAGCTAGAAGAGACTTGCGAGGAAGTTAACTGCTAAGCCAGAAGGAGATAAAAACACAGCAAGTATGAAAGGAAATTGACACGGAAGATAGTAGGAGTAGGTCAAACATTTGTCTAGCACTGCAGAAGGAGATACTAGGAAAAGTGGGAGAGAAGCAATATGTGAGGGGACAGTGACCCACTTTCTCACAATTCATGGAAGATGCCAAGCCCCAGAGACTTCAAGGCCGGTCCACTGTCAGTGGCAGAGAGTGGGCGTGTGGCTGTTCAGAGCATATTTTCTTTCTTTCTTTCTTTTTTATATACAAGCACTGGGTACAGTCAGAAGTGCGGGAGGGTGATTCACCAGAGCCAGAGCGGGGAGCAGAACAGGCAGACTGATGAAATACACTGCTGAGGGGAGCAGCGGGGAGACAGGAGAGGTCTGCTGTGCCATGTGGGTAGCTCCCTGGCCGGGGATGGAACTCGTGTTGCAGAAGCTGCAGATTGCTTCATAGTGTGGTGCTTAACCCCTTGCGCCACCAGGGAGGCCCCTCAGAGCGTATTTTCAATTTGGCTATTAGAAAATTTTCATTATGTGCACAATTCATTATTTGAAAAAATAAACCCCACAAAAGGAAAATGAATAAAGGCAAACATAAATTTACAAAATAAGCAGCAAAGTTAGATAGGGTCAACACAGACCTAACTGGTACTTTAAACTTTTCTCCCAAGCCTTCAAGCACTCATTTTTTATTTTTTTAATTAATATTTTATTTTATATAATTCTTACATCATTTTTCATTTTTGCACAATGTATGCATCATCATTTTGGTTATATTCCCCATACGATTGCACCCCGCCCCCCTTATTTTGACCCTAGTCCTTCCTCTCCCCTTCCCTCCGCCCCACTCCAGTAGTGTGTCTCTGGTTTATAGTTGCTTGTTTTTTTTTTTTTAATAGAGGCATGTTTTATTTATTTATTCATTTGTTTGTTTGTTTATACAAGCACTGGGTACAGTCAGAAGCGCGGGAGGGTGAGGGAATTCACCAGAGCCAGAGCAGGGAGCAGAACAGGCAGACACTGCTGAGGGGAGCAGCGGGCGGCAGGAGAGGTCTGCGCGCCAAGTGGGGCCCTCCTCCCGTGGCCGGGGAGCAGCCGGGGATCGAACCAGCGCCACAGAGGCTGCGGGCAGCTTCACAACCCAGCGCTCAACCGCTGCACCACCTGGGAGGCCCTATAGTTGCTTGTTGATTTTGATTTTCACTTTGTGTTAATTAGTCTTTCTCCTGGTCCCTTATTTAGGTTTTCTGAATTCCTGCTATGAGTGAGACCACCTGGTATTTTTCTTTTTCTTTCTGGCTTATTCCACTGAGCATGATCCCTTCCAGCGCCATCCATGTTGCTGCAAATTGCATGTGTTTTATCTTTTTTGACTGCTGAGTAATATTCCATGGTGTATATGGACCACATCTTCTTGATCCAGTCATCTATTTTTGGGCATTTGGGTTGTTTCCAAAGCTTAGCTATTGTAAACAGTGCTGCTCTAAACATAGGGGTGCAGGTGCTCTTTGGAATGGATGTTTCTGTGTCCTTTGGGTAAATACCTAGGAGTGGAATTGCTGGATCCTATGGAAGCTCTATGTTTAGTAGGTCCAGAAATCTCCACACAGCTCTCCATAGTGGTTGGACCAGTTTGCACTCCCACCAGCAGTGCAGGAGAGTTCCTTTTTCTCCACACCCTCGCCAACATTTGCTGTTGCTAGTTTTTTTAATATGTGCCATTCTCACTGGTGTGAGATGGTATCTCATGGTGGTTTTGATTTGCATTTCCCTGATGACAAGGGATGGTGAACATTTTTTCATATGCCTGTTGGCCATTTGCATTTCCTCTTTTGAGAAGTTCCTTTTTAGTTCTTCTGCCCATTTTTTGACTGGATTATTTTGTTTTTGTTGAGTCTCATCAGCTCTTTGTAGAGTTTTGTGATCAGTCCTTTATCATTAGTGTTGTGCAAACACTCATTTTTTAAACGATTTATATGTATTTATTTTTGCATACAAGAACTGGGGTACAGGCCAAAGGTATGGGGGTGAGGCGACTCATCAGAGACAGAGTGGGGAACAAAACAGGCAGACTGACTGACTGAAATCCACTGCTGAGGGGAGCAGCGGGGAGACAGGAGAGGTCTGCTGCGCCATGTGGCTCACCTCCCTGTCTGGGGATAAAATTCGTGCTGCAGTGGCTGCCAATAGCTTCGTAGTGCTGAGAGAACCCCTTGTGCCACCAAGGAGGCCCTCAATCTCTCATTTTAATGCTTGCTTAGGTGGCTTTTTCAAAGACTAAAATTGAACATAGCCAAGTAAGGACAAGTAGTGAACACAAACATGTGGTGTGAACCGTGTGCAGAGGGAATGGCCGTGCATGCCCAAGGCCAGCATGGCGGCGGGAGCAGCTTCCTACCAGTGAATCTGGAAACTGGTGGAAAGGGCAAATTGTCAAAAAAAATTAAAAAATGACTTAAGTAGAAAAAGAAAACCAGAGCAGTTTTACCAGCACTAGAGAAACTGAGTCAGAAAGGAAACTTTTCTACAAAGGATCATAAGCACAAACAGCTTTACGGACAGTTTCTATCAGAACGAAGCGACCATTTCATGCTCAGAGAAACGCTGCCAGGGAGTGACGGCAAAGGAGAAAAGATGACCTGGCCTGTTTATAAGGCTGGAGCTACCTGATGCCAAAGCAGAGACCGTCTAAGCCGGGAATTATAGGCCACCTTCATTCATTTGTGTGGATGGCATAATCTTGTGGCCAACCAAATCTTGTATGTGAATGTTCCTCATGGAAGCGCTTCCCAGAATACTTCGAAAATGCCCATCAGCTGATGAGTAGGAAGCTGAGGCGAGTCAAAGCCCACCGTGGAACACTGGGCAGCCAGCCCCAAAGTGATGCCCTGAAGCCATGTGTGTGCGCTTCGGAAACCCAACAGCCAAAGCGCAGGAAGTAGGCAAAAGTGACGTCAGACAGGCTCCCTGCACTGGGAAAGCCGGACTCATTCCACCAGAAATATATTGAAAACCTGGAGTGAAGCCACTAAGGGAAGGCACATCCTGGGCATGAGAACCATTTCTGAGTCCATGCTGCAACCCCCGTTTTCTAGAACGTTAAGAAGCCGGTCAATTGAGTGTAACGATCGCAAGATATTTCTCTGGGCTATTTGAGCCGTCCAAGGGGCAGGCCCTAGGTCCTGACAGTGGGGGTTCCCTCCGCAGAGTGCTGGGGCATCGCCTGTGAGAGTCAAGCACCAGCCGTGCACACGAAGCTTCGGCTCAGCCTTGGGTCTGTCCCGCTTACGGAAGAGCGGCGCAGTGGTTTCGTCAGCCAGTTCATTAGCCAGCGTACAGATTGGAGGAAAGAAAAACTGCTCGGGGGAGAAAGCTTTCTTTACAAAAATCTATTGTTCCCAGCATTGTTAGAGAGATGACCTATTACAGCCCTGGATCAAGAGAATATATCCGTAGAGCAAACACTTGAGCAGATTACAGGATAAAAAGGATGTCATTATCTTCCAAAAAAAAAAAAAAAAAAAAAGCAGTCATTTTACCAACAAATGCAAGAAAGGCATTTGACAACTCAGCATGTACTTGTGGAAAAGAAGTTCACAAATGAGGAATTGCTGGGGTTTTCCTTAAGCTCATAAAAATGAGTTTGCAGAGAATTAGATGTAGTAGACACTCGGTGCTTAAATACTCAAAATGTCCCTTTAGGATCAAGTTCACAGCAAAAAGGACCTCTTGACTTGTCTCCAGCATTGCAGCTGAGGTTCACTCCATGACAGAGAAGGAATTAAAGAAACAGAAAAATAAGAAAAGGAAGAAAAAAATCTGTGGTTATTATCAGATGAAATGACGGGCTCCCCAGAACACCCAGAATCATCTCCCTGGAAAGCAGTGGAGGAAAATCAGTTCAGGCTGGATTATTACTGAGATGTGAAGGGGAAAGGTTTGTAACTGTAGGAGAAAACCGGGGAACAAGTGATGATGTTGGCATAGGGGAGAGAGCCTTAAGGCGCACAGGGCACGAGCAATGTTTGTCATGAAACATGGTTTGTTCAGACAGAAAGAAAACACTGTAGAGCCTGCTGGCTGCTTGCGCATCACATACGACTGTGCCCCACTGGGGGTGAGGAATGTGGCCGGAGAATCAGGAAGACAAGTGGTTCTATCTAAAGATTAGCAAAGAAAAGGAAGCAGCCTGCACAGACAGTTCTCAAGAGGGAAATAAATGGCCCTTGGCCACGTGAGAAGGTGGCCAGTTAATTCATTGCTAATCAAAGTGTAACAGGGGGGTCCCCAGGAAAGGGGGAGGTTCCAGGTTTCCTGCTCCACCCAAAAGGAGGGTGGAGCAGAGCAGGGAGAAGAAGCTGCAGAGGAGACTGAGGAAGGAAGGAAGCAGGATGGAGCCAGAAGGAGACCTGGAGGAGGCGCATGGAGCCGAGAGACGCGTGAGGAAACTGCGCCTGCCTTCTGGTCGTGGACCGGGTGACACAGACGTGGGGGAGACCCGTGGGGAGGCGACCATGGCAGCTTTTAACTTGATTTTGATTTTGCTCTTTTCCTTCCGGGCTTGTCCGGTTGTTTCTGACCCTTTTCTGCGGGTCCCCACTGGAAGATGCTTTAGACCTGTGGCAGGCTTTGGGGCCTTGCTCTGGGCCAATCCCATTTGGATGGACTTTTACCCACGAGGAGACGGGTCACTTTGGGTGCTTCATTTAGAAACTAGATTCTTTGCCTTTCCTGTGTTGTTTCCTAATTGTATTAAAGTTCCTTCCCATCAAAGTCTCACGTTTTGTGTTGATGCGGCGGATGGCAGAACCCTATATAGAATAGGCAGGTTTGCAGGGTTTGGGCTGCCCCTCTCCCTGCCCTGTAACAAAAGGGCTAGGAATCCAAGCACCCCATTCAGATGCCATTTTACCAGGATCGGGTCAGAGACATTTTAAAAGTCTGAAAATACCAAGCAGTGGCCGTGATGGACCCTGTGTGACATGGGGCTGGTGTGAGAGCAACCCTGTGGAAGACTGTGCAGGAGGCGCACGCACGGCCCCAGCAGCTCTGCTTGCAGCCACACACCCATAAGGGCTGCGCAGGAGCACGGGTGCTTATTTGCGCCCGCAAACTGTCAGCAGCTCCAGTGGCCGTGGTGGTGGGATGGTTAAGTGAACCAGTAGAAGTGGACATGATAGGGCCCACGAGTTGATGTGCGTGATGACGCTCATGGGCTCTCATAAGCCATTCAAGGTAGTCGCCTCGAGAAAGAGAGGACCCCATCCTGAGCCTGGGCGGGTGCCTGAGGGCACTTAAGTTGGCAGCACCTAGTACACAGCACGCTTGTACGCGTGTGGGCACCTCTGCTAGAATGGCACTGAGCACGGCTGCAAACTACCACGGTTACTTTCATATAGCACGTTGCTGGGGGAGATGTTGCCTGTTGCCACACCGATGGTCAGGCTGGTGCCACATGGAAGCCAAGCGGGTGGCACTGCATTTCAAATGGCAGCTGTCACATGGCAAGCTGCCCTGGCACAGCTCTGTGCCCAGACACCGCTAAGCTGAAGCTGAATTCTGTGATGTTGGTTCCTAGGAGGAGCACAGAGCAGCCAGCTCTCTCATGTGGACGAGGACCTGTGGCCTAGATTATCTAGCCCTGGATTTCAACTCTGCGTCGCCAGCCCCTGCACAACAGGTAGGTGGGACTCGGTGTCCGAGACTACCATAGGATATACCACTTCTGTTTGCCCTTCCTGATGACTCCAGCATACACATTCTCTTTGGAAATTCCTCGAATTGCACATACACAGTGAATGGCGCACAGTCAGCCCTCGTCCCACTCCAAGACAATGAAGTGCTGGTGTCTCCCTCCGGGCTGCGATCTTCATGTGCATGTGCAGAATGTCTGCTGTTTCCATGCCTTTCCAAACTTGGACCATACAGCTGATAGAAAAATCCTCAGGGAGACATGGAAGCGGGGGAGAGGGCACCCGGGTGCAGGTAGGGCCTGTTTAGGGGATGAGGACTAGCCCAATTTGGCTATACGCCAGGATTTGTAAGGAACCAGCCTGGGAGGGCTTGTTCGGCAGCTTGTGCTTTGCACGGCACCCCCATATTTACAACAGGAATCAGGGATCCTAACTGCTCTGCTGAACCCTGCAACTGGCTGCACAAGGTGTACAGGGTGTTCCATTTTGGGCATGTGTGTATATGTGTGCGCAGGTGCATGTCTTGCACATGGGCATAGCACGCAAGCACACGTGGATATGCACATGCCTGCATGTACGCACACACACACACAGGCATGTGTATATGTGCTCTTATGCACACACAAGCAGGAAAACAATCCCGAGTCTCACATACAGAGGAGTGAACGCCCACTTCTAAAGCTTTTCTCCCTAAAACCGTGAAGTAAGACACCAGATGAGCGAGGCTGGCAGCTGGGGAAGGTCCGGGCGGCAGCACTGGTGCTACCCCATCAACACCGACCACCTCTAGCAGTGCTCATGAGGCAGCGTGGGGCAGCCCAGTGCCCGATGTCCCAGGTCACCGTGCTGGAACAGCAGCCCCCTGAGGTGTGGAGCCCCTTGGCCACTCTTCTTTGGTCAGGTGCTTGGACACAGTGGCAGGGCATGGAGGTGGGAGTGTCTCTTCACATGCACGTGGCACAGAGGTGCTTCCAGGCCCACAGGGCAGGGCCACATGCACTGGGCCTACTGGGGTGCACTGGAGGCCCAAGTGGTGCAGTTCCACGTCACGGCGGGCTTTCTGTCCCCCCCGCAGAAACTTCTTTCAGAAGAGCACAGAGTGGACTACGTGCAAGTGGACGAGCAGAAGACGCAGGCGCTGCAGAGCACCAGGCAGGAGTGGACGGACGAGAGGCAGTCCAAGGCGTGAGTGGTGTGGCGGGCGGTGGGGGCTGCGGCGCTTCGCTCTGCGCCAGTGGCCACCCGGCCCAGGGCCAGACAGACGCGCAGGCTCCCCGTGGGCTTGGCGAGAACGTTTGGGGGACAGGACCGTTGGACAGGTGGGATGGGGACCAGTGGGGATGGGAGCGGGCCTGGAGTCGGCTCCTGGCCTCTGCTGCTGGGGGACAATGCCACCCACGATGGGGCTGGGGAGGGCTCCTTCTAGGCAGGGGGCACCAGCAAAATTGAGACTTGCAAGGACATTTTCCCTGAGTTTGCCTAAAAGCCTCTGCTGCGGCATGTTTGGGTCTCCACGGTCAGTCATCAGTTGTCCCTGGAGACCAGCCCTGGGAGACCGGCCCTGCCGTGGTGGCCCCGTCTGTCCTCTGCAGAGACCAGTCCTTCCCACGCCTGGAAAGCAGCCGGGCATGTGCACGTGTGAGCACAGCCACTGCCCGGGGCTGTCACGTGCTCGCCTCCTCCCTTGAGGCCTGGGAAGCAGGTGTGGGACAGACTGTTGCCCCCACTTTGAAGAAAACTAAAAGCAGAAGTGGGAGCCCTTTGCCCAACACCCCCGGAGCCCAGACCCCGAGCGCCACGCCCACTGTCTTGCTTGGCCTGCAGGGACTTGGATGAGCGCGCGCCGCCTGGGCAGCCTTGAAGCCACGGGGGAGGCTGTGCAGACCCGCAATGAGCCAGCCCCCAACTCCTCTCCCCTTTGTGGTCATCCACCAGGTGCTGTTACCCTTGAGGGGATGTGTGTGCAGCCAGGGTTTCTGCGTTGCTGCGTAGGGTCCCCCCTCCCTAAGAGCAGGGTGCAAGCCTTTCCTGGACTGCCTGCTTTCTTAGGAGCAGCCTAGTGTTGCCCCCCTCCCGGAGCGGGGGCACAGATTGTCGCTGGCATTGTGTGCTGGACCCGAACTTTCACGCAATAAACACTTCTGACCAGAAAAACCTGCCAGCCTGCCAGGCAACAGAGACGCGGTGGGTGGTGATGAGGTTCCGAGAGCGCGACACCCCCACTTAACGAGGGCATTGGGTCACCCCTTCTTTTAGGGGGCTCTGAGGTCAAGGGACCCAGAGCAGAGTCTCAGTGGGGCGTGGGGTTTTACTCAATCACCCTTCCTGCCTCCTCTGAGCACCTGCAGTGTAAAGACAGATGTGAACAGCTGGGCACCAGGCAGACCTGCCGCTCCGGGGTTCCCACATGTGGGTGGGCCAGGCAGGTCCGGGGCATCAGGGTTACCAGTCCCGGGGCTGTGGGCTTTGCTGTGGCGTGTTGGGGTTCCAGACCGCCCCCAAGGGAGGGAAAGTCCAAGTCTGGGCAGGCCATCGAGGAAGTCGTCTTGCCGCGCCCGCGCCAGGCTGGAGACACCACAGGGGACACGCGTTGGCTGGTGCCGCACGCGAGTCTGACTCGGCTGACCAGGACCCCGGTCTGCAGAGCGTCTCCCGGGACACGTTGCCTGCGCAGAGCAACACACTCGCGCGCTGTCGCTTGCATGGAAGTCATTCACTTGGGATTTGTTTTAAATGACTTCGCCCTCATCCTAGGGCTGGAAATAAGCAGCTATGTCCACCTTGTAGAGAACTGCAAATGGACAGTTCCGCAGAAGCGTGACGATTTGGGGAAACTACCTCAAAAACAGGTAGTTTTGAGCTGGCAGTGGCACAGATTTCTGAAAACAGAAGTGAGAACGATGCTGGAAATGCCTCATTTTCGGCAGAGATATTCCATGTGTTAATGGGACTAGAATTTTCACCAGGGGCTGACGTCAGCCGCCTTTTTTCTCTAAGAAAATGATCATAGATACCATTCTTTCTTTTTTTAAGAGAAAGTAATGAGATGCCATTTGGAATTTTATTTCAAAAGCAGTTTGCCTTGGTTCGCTAGCAAGAGACAAAAACACAAGTCTTCTGTACGTTAGTGACGACAGTGATCACAGCAGAAAAAAGATGAGTCAGCGTTGCGTATCCCAGCACCATCCTAAGTCAAGTGAATACTGTGCAGGGAAGAACTTTCTAGCAGATTTGGGCCTCGCCGCAACAGGCAATGCCTTCCATCTCTTTCCGTTAGCAGATTCCTCCAGATCAGGGGGTGTTTGTGCAGGAGGCCAAGGAGCTACGCTGTGTCTATAGATCCAAGTCAAACGAAGCTGACCCCCTCCCCCCGCTTGGACCCGACTTCCTCTTCTCAAGGCCTCTTCACTCCTGGTTTTGAGAAATTCACGTGTTTTCACTGTGTGGTAATCTGGCATCAATAAAAGTCTGTTGAAGAGGAATCATGACTGACGTGTCCTCATTGAAAGGATGACTGGTACAATCACAGAGTGCGTGCAGACAGCCAACGGCCTGACCGATGGCCCGTGAGGCCGCTCACAGCGCCCTGCTGGGGGGCCGGCAGCTGAGCCCATCTCGCGTCAGCGCCCAGCTGCGAGGCGGGCTGGCGAGTGCAATGCCCAGTGCTGACGGCGCACACGCACAGCCTTGCCATGACTGCACTTGAGAGACAGCCCGGCCTGCCCTTCACCCAGCAGGAGTCTCGTGCCACCCCGGTGCCGGGGCAGCGGGTCTCAGCCATGAAGCAGCCAGGACGGCGGTGCACTCGGGACCCAGGTCTAGGGGAGAAAGACCAGAGAGAGGATAGAGCAGACCTCCTGGGGCAGAGGGCGGAGCCACACAGAATTCCCTGCCCCCTGAGCACTTTCCCCCAACGGTGTTAGTGACGCCTGAAGGGCTTGGAGGCCCTGACTTCCCAGCATCGCCTTTAATTCCCTTAACACTAGATGCCTGTTATGATCGTTCTGTTACTTGAATTGTGCCACTTATTTTACACATTTATTTAAGTTTTCATTTTCTGCAGCTGAGAGCTCGTGTCATCAGCGCAGGCTGGACGGGGCGGGGGCAGCCGTGACAGAGGCACTCAGCACAGGCGCGCCCCTCACAGACACAGGCTCCTTGTGTAGCCCAGTGCCACTGCAGAGGCTCGGGGGTGTCATGGGGGTGCCACAGTGCTAGGCCATGGGATGGAGAGCCTCGGGGACATGGTGAACCTTGACTTCACTGGGGAAGGCCGGACACTGCACAGCCTGCGCTCCCTGCTTCACAGACCCCTACTGGCATAAACCAGCGGCCCTTGACTGGGTCTCAGTTTCACAGTCAAAGCCTTTTAGTGGGGCCTCCCTGGTGGCCTAGGGGTCAGTGTCAGGCTGTCACCACTGTGGCCTGAGTGCGATCCCCGGCCAGGAGGCTCACCCACATGGCACAGCAGACCTGTCCTGTCTCCCTGCTGCTCCCCTCGGAAGTACACCTCAGATCCACCTGTTCTGCTCCCCACTCTGTCTCTGGTGAGTGTTCTCACCCCCACACATCTGGCTGCACCCCACTTCTACACCAAAAAAAACCCCAAACCCTCTATTTTAGTAAGGCCTTTGCCTCCATGAAAAGGAATACCACATAACTATCTGAATGTCTTAATGTCCTCCTTTGGGCTTTTTTCTTTTTTTTTTTTTTAAACTAAGTTTATTTATTTTTTTATAGAGGCATGCTTTATTTATTTATTTGTTTGTTTGTTTGTTTTGTTTATACAAGCACTGGGTACAGTCAGAAGCACGGGAGGGTGAGAGGATTCACCAGAGCCAGAGCGGGGAGCAGAGCAAGCAGAAGGACCGAGGTACACTGCTGAGGGGAGCAGCGGGCGGCAGGAGAGGTCTGCGCACCAAGTGGGACCCTCCTCCCGTGGCAGAGGCGCAGCCGTGGATCGAACTGGCGCCGCAGAGGCCGCGGGCAGCTTCACAACCCAGCGCACAACCGCTGCGCCACCGGGGAGGCCCGCTTTTTTGTTTCTTGACACTTAATTCATCTTCACAGGTTTTGACAGAAGTCAGGATAGCAGCTTCCTCTATTGGGCACATTATTGATTTTTGGAAAGGGGCATGAGAGAACTTTCTGGAACAATGGATATGTTCTGTTTCTCAATCTTGGTGGTGCCTCTACGGGTATATACGCATGTAAGCATTAATAATCTGTAAATTGAATATATCTATACTGCATGTAAATTACGTCTCAAAGAAGCAATTAGCACAAAGAGGTAAAGCTAACCTAAGAAACAACCATAAAACACAGTAGAGGAAATGCCAGGAAAACATCTTATGTTGGATGTGCAAGAGGTTCAGCAATACACAACAGAAGAGCAACAAAGCTGATGGCAGAGCAAGTGGACACGCCTCAGCGCTTTTCTGGCCTTAATGAGGATTTGCCCCCAACAGCCCAGAGCTGGGACTAGCTACCGGGGTACATTCCTGCCAGGTCAGGCCTCAGTCTGCTGGAAGCAAGAGGAGGGGCAGACAGGTAGCGCACTCAGGCTGCCATGGGGGCCTCTGTTCTCAGAATGGGGCCGTGAAGGGAGCTGTGCAGGGAGTCTGCTGGGCGAGGGACCAGCTCTCGGCACTTGCACAGGCAGCTCAGACAGCACAGCAGCTTGGCCAGCACGGTGGGTGTTTAGAGCTGCCTGACAGAACGTGCCCAGAGCAAAGGGGGGGGGGTCAAGGACTGCAGGGCCCGTCACCAGAGCCACTGCAAGGGCAGGGTTGCAAAGCACAGTGCCCTGTGAAGAGAGAGTCACCTGCACTTCCTCCTCGGCCTGCAGTCGCCCATGTCACATCACTTAGAATACCCAGATCCGAGAGGCAGAGCAACATGGCGGCAAGGAGTCGCTGCGAGTAAGATCTCCCATTAAAAAAAAGTTAATAGGGAGGAAAAGCGGCAGGTCCCAGTGAGTACTGGGACACGGAAGATAAACGGACGACTCCAGCAAACTACACGAAGAAGAAAGTTGCCATAAAAGAGGACTAGAAGGGAGGAAAGCGCAGAACCCTGCTCCCCTCCCCCACCCACAGAGTCGGCACTCTCCGACCAGCAGAGAGGAGGAAAAAACAAACTAGAACGACCAACAAGAACAAACTACGCAGCAAGCGGGACTGGGAGTGGAAAGGAACTATTTCAGCCACCACACCCCGTGAACGGGAGCTGCGGAGAACCCTGCAGGATTCGCAGCTGCGGTGAGCGAACGGCTCCGGGGCGCCATTAGAGAACAACAGAGACCCCTGGATGAGACCTGCACACAGCCCCGGGCCGGCCGGTAAGCTTGCGCGGAAAAGCAGCACGCTTGAAAAGCAAACGCGGATCGGAATCGCAGCAGCCCAGGTCCCCGCGCCTGCGACCTAGGCTTGCGGGGAGACACGCGGGGACCCTCACTGAGGTGAAAGTCCCTCACTGAGTAATCAGGAACCAGGCACCCAGGCACGGGAGCGGGGTGCAAAAGGCGCCATTCCTGCGGCCATTGAACTGGGCTACAGCCCGCGTCCTGGACCTGAGGGCTTTGGAACTGAGACCCGGGGCATGAAATTCGGGGCGTGGGTTCTCCACAACGGTGGGGCACAAGGCAGACACAGCCCCCCAAAGCCGTTGAGGTTTACCCTACCATTCCCGCTCTGATCCCTATCCCACGGGGTGAACAAAAAAAAAAACAGCTCCCCAAGGGCTCTAGGAGAGATCTCTGGCGCCACCTAGTGACTTGAAACCAGCAGAGGCTCCTGGAGGAGCCAGTAGCCAGCTAGGAAGTTAGCCCACGCCAGGCCCCTTCCGACCAGTAGTCTGAGCCCACAGGTGGAGTTGGCACCCACGGCCGGGGCAGACCGGGCGCGCAGAAGAGTGTGCCTGAGACTGGACGTGCAGGGAGTGTGTCATTTTACAACAGGGACATTTCTTCAGTAAAGACTGCCTGCAGAAGGCTCCCTCAGGAGCCAGAGGTTAAGCGGGGGAAGTTCGCCCACGCCAGGCCCCCTCTGGCCTGCAGTCCAAGCCCAGAGGGGGAGCGGGAACCCACCACCGGGGCAGACCAGGCGCACGGGGAGTGTGTCACCACATCGGCATTTTAGAACAGGGACCTTTCTTCAGTAAAGACTGCGTGAAACTGACAGATGGCTCCCGGAGGAGCAAGAGGGGAGCAGAGAAGTTCACCCAAGATGCCGGCCAGTCCCAGCAACAGAGTGTCCCAATGCATATGACAAATTAGAAAACAGACAGCGGGGAGTAGAAGAACCACATGCAACCTAACAACTCCTCAGGAAAAAAGCACACCACAAAAAGAAAACCACCCCCCAGATTGCAACGACAGTAACTTGGAAGAACTTCTGAGCCTTCCAGAAAGAGAATTTAAAATTGCTGTGATTAAAAAAATAACAGAACTCATAAAGGAAAACAATGATCAGAAGAAGGAAATTGAGTCCCTAAAGAGGGGAGCAAAAGAAACGCAGGAGATCAAAGAACTAATGGAAGAACTAAAGAACTCTGGGAAAAGCAATGAAAGCAGGATAGATGAAATGGAAGAACGAATAAGTACTCTTGAACACACAGAAATAAAAAGAACCAAAACAGAAAAGGAAAGAGAAGTACGAAGGAAAAAGAATGAAGAAAGACTTCGGGAACTATCTGATTCCATGAGGAAAGGAAATACAAGAGTTATAGGAATTCCAGAAGGAGAGGAGAGAGATGTAGGAACAGAGAAAATATTCAAAGAGATAATTGAAGAGAACTTCCCAAATGTGAAGAAGGAGCTGAAAATTGATATATAAGAAGCAAGAAGAACACCAAACTTCCACGACAAAAGGAAAAATACAGCAAAACACATAATAGTAAAGCTCCCAAGAAACTAGGACAAGGAAAAAATAATGAAGCTGATAAGAGGGAAGAAACAGATAACATTCAAAGGAAAACCAATCAGGCTGACATCAGACTTCTCCGAAGAAACACTACGGGCAAGGAGAGAGTGGAGGGACATAGTCAACAGACTCCAAGCAAACAGATGCCAACCAAGAATACTCTATCCCGCAAAGCTCTCCTTCCTCTATGAAGAAAGAATAAGGACCTTCCCAGACAAACAGAAACTCCGGAATTTCATTACGACTAAACCCCCACTCCAAAAATACTACAAGGAATCCTAAAGCCAGAACCTCAGAGGGACAAATAACAACGAAAGAAGGCCAAAAAAAAAAGTTATTAAAAGAATAAATAAATAAAATCAAAGGAAAGACAAACACAATGGCAAATACAGATGCTAACATATTAATATTAACTCTAAATGTAAATGGACTAAACTCTTCAATAAAAAGACACAGAGTTGCAGCCCAGATTAAGAAACAAAACACAACGTTTTGCTGTCTCCAGGAAACACACTTAGCTACAAAAGATAAAAATAGACTCAAAGTTAAAGGAT